CACTAGTTAAATAAATAATTAAAATCTTCACATTGCAAAAAAAAAAGAAAACGCAGAAAAAATTGTGATAATTTGTCAAAAGTGTATATTTGTATTCTTTTCTCAATTTTTAAAAAAATTTTTTTTTATGCTGGATTGAAAAAAATTAGAATTTTTTTTACACAAAAGAAAAATATCACCAATTAGCTTATTTCAAATTGATCCAATTCACTGATCAAATAATTTGATTAAATATTTGCTAAACCTACAGGGGTTGGACGTCTAGAGAATGTCTAGAATAATAGTTGATATATGAAGCTAAAATTTCAATTTACTACCAAAACTATATATTGGAATAAGCTTTATGAAAATGAAAGTTGAACTAAATAATTTGAAAGTGAAAATGTTAAGTGAAATAGTACTTACGCAAATAAAAACATAATGTCTTTACCTGTGCTCAGCACAAAGTTTTATTTAGTAGTTGAGACCTATCATAGTTCACTGTATGACTGGGTGGCATTTAATGATTTAATGATGGTGTGTGTGTGTGTGTGTGTGTGTGTGTGTACAAATTCTCACTTTGTTGAAAATCATGGATCAGATATACCTTAGGATTATGATGCATTTCTAAGCCTACAGTGCATTTTGTAATGTATTTGTATGTGCTCTTATCCCCTATACTATACTGTGTGTTTTAGATCATATAATATAAAAGCTGTTTCAGGACACTCCTGAGCATAATTAAACTTTTGCGATTAAGACCTGACATCTCTTTGAAAGATCACAACAAAGCCAAAGCAGTAGGTCAGCAGTGGTCATCCAAAGCTAGATCTTTTACATGAAACCTGTAACTCGACATGTTAACCTGTCAAGTAGCACAGTTTCCCCATTCACACATTTCAAGTAAAGTGCTCCACTTCTCATCATTCCCTCCTTCCTCCTCTCAGGGCTGTGGGTAAAACATGTCTGCTAATCAGCTACACTACCAATGCCTTCCCCGGAGAGTACATCCCCACGGTGTAAGTATCACACACACAAAATCCCCCACTGGCCAGCTGAGGTAGGAGTGTCAAATTGACATGTGGCAGTTAATCTTGAACATTAAGTTGCATATTACAGAAGAAAAAAGTTTTGTACGTTTTTGCATAGTTTCAAAAACATTATCCACCTCTCATTCTCTGCAGCTTTGACAACTACTCTGCCAATGTGATGGTTGATGGGAAACCAGTGAACCTGGGACTGTGGGATACAGCAGGACAGGAGGACTATGACAGGCTCAGGCCACTGTCCTACCCGCAGACAGTATGTATACAGGCATATATTACATGTGTTTATCCACTGTCTTGCATAGTTTGGTGTAGCCAGACAATGTTCACTTACCCAGCACCGATTTGGAGTTATTCACTGGCCTCTAATACTCAAGACAGGGTCTGTGCATTCTGCAGAGTAGAGCCTTGTATCCACAGTACCTATACACTGTCTGGAGGACGGCTGGAGGAAGTGAAAAGCAGCTCTTGCTTTTGAAAAGCAGCTCTTGTTTGCCCTCTTTGTCTTCGCAGTCAAGTTGGCCTCTGTGCCAATGACTCGAGTAATGGGAGTCACTTTGTTTACCCAACAGGACCAGCCTGTGTTTGTGTTTATTTGTGAATCCTCACATCTGCATTAGTCAGTCTTATGTTCAAAATGTTCATCCTCAACTGTTATGGTTAATTAGTTCTTACATTAAGTTTGGGTTATTATTTTCAAAGTTGGAACACAGACGCCTGCACAGCGATAGTGAAGTTCTTAATGTCGTAGTGATTTGTCTGTTTTGTCCTCCTCAGGACGTGTTCCTGATTTGCTTTTCACTCGTCAGTCCAGCCTCCTTTGAAAACGTCCGTGCCAAGGTCAGTACAGCATGCTCTTTAATATTAACTTAACTGTTGTCCATGAAATGCCATTCTCAGATCAGCTTGGCTGGGTAATTGTGTTAGTGTGATACATAGCCAGATGATGGTGTGCATTTTTGACACAATTCTAAGTCTAGCTAAAGAAATATGCTTAATTTTAGGATTTATTTATTTTTTGTCACAATGGTTTCCAAAAAACTATTAAAAAAATGTTTTAAAAGCAAAATGTAAGTTTTAGTTCAAATGCAGCTCTTTGATGCAATGATCACACTTCTTAAAGGTAACACTGTTTGAAACTGGAAACTGTGAAAGAAATCTATTGTTTTAAACAATGCACTTGCATTCAGTATCGTCTTTTTATTTAATAATAATGCATGCCAACACTTCTGTCCTCACCCTGCAGTGGTACCCTGAGGTGAGGCACCATTGCCCCAACACACCTATAATCCTGGTGGGAACCAAGCTGGATCTAAGAGACGACAAGGACACCATTGAGAAGCTGAAGGAGAAGAAACTCTCTCCTATTATCTACCCGCAAGGCTTGGCCATGGCTAAAGAAATAAGTCAGTTGTAGCTCCACACTTTGACAAATGCTTCCTTTTTAAAAATAATAATAATAATTTATTGACTATTATTTTAGAGGATGAGGATGCTAGAAGGCAAACTCTGCAAGGGACTATTTTAAATTTGGCATATTCCTGTTAACTTGGCTGCAGACTGACAGCAGCAGCGACTGGCGTCTGTTTGTTGCTCGTTTGTCGATTCATTGTTGCCATTTCAGGAATATTTATTGACATTTTAAACTTGTTACAGTATTTAAGTAGTGACTTTTCTCCTATAATTGTTTTTGCTGCTTTAGAAACAGCATTTTGTTTCATTTTCTCTTTGATGATATTTTTCTCATTTTAATAATAATAATAATAATAATAAAAAAAATAAAAACACTTATTAATTAGCATCTGAACAGGTGTGCCTAATTAAGTGGCTGGCAGTATATTGTCTATTTATAGTCACATAGTAGTTATTTGGAAGAGACCATCTCCTACCTTCCAGATGGAGCCTCAGAAACTAAGCCTTTAGAAATCTGATAAAACTGCGCACAATTTTTTTTTAAACTTATAATTCATTATGGCAATTAAAATATTTAACATTTCTATTGCTGAGTTGTTTTTTTTCATCATTGGTTATTTGTAATTGTGTTTTTATCCATTTCTTTCTTTTCTATTTAGAAACCTCTGCCGCCTTTTGTTGCCTAAAGTGTAGAAGGATCTTAAAATATGTTTTGACTAAAAAAACGAGACTGTTCTTCTTTCCCCCTTTTGTTGACCAGGTGCAGTGAAATACTTGGAGTGCTCAGCTTTGACCCAGCGTGGCCTTAAAACGGTGTTTGATGAAGCCATCAGGGCAGTTCTGTGCCCACCACCTGTCAAGAGAAGGAGGAGGAAGTGCAGCGTGTTGTAACGGGGAGCAGCAAATACAGTCGAAATCAGAACTCGCCTACTTGGAGGGAAGAAGACGGCTGGGTTATTTTCACCCTGTGTCCTTGCTTACATAGAAGCTTTGGTAGATCAGACTTCCATCTGAAAGAACTTTACAGATTTAAGGGGTGCAGAAGAGTTTCTGTCAGATCTTTTCTCTGGGTTTGCATGTGTTTAGTCCTTTCAGATGGATGGGAAAGAAGTGATTTTTTGCTAAGGCCTCGGGGAACGGGAGGGCAGGGGATGTAATTGTTGAGCTGGGGAGAGAGGGAGGATTTTACTAAAAGAAAAACAAAAGTCGTCGGTTTTCTCAGACATTGTGAAGAAACACTACCTGAAGGTGAATTTCTTGTGACACTACCGTAGATTTAACACTAAAAGAAGGAAGTTCTGCACGGCACTCTATCCCCTACACACTAAGAGATTCCTGTTGCCTTGATTAAAATTTTAGTTTTAAGAGGTAAAAAGATTTTTTGTAGAATTTTTATTTTTTTTTTCCCTCCATTGGACCATTTTTGTTTACACGTGTCATCCAACTAGAGGTGCTGCGAAAACTCAGCCATCTCTTGCTAGTCCCTCTGTGAACACTTTAATACTGTTTTTACCTGCACAACGTGTCGTCATGCAGTTGTGAAGAAAACCTTTAAACCCTAAAATGACTGCAATAAATTTTTGAAGCTCCTGCTCAGAATAATTGCAAGAGTGCAGTGATCAAACATTAAAGAGACTGTGTCTGGTTAATATTTTTAACATTTAGTTGTCTTGTTCCTCAATGTTTTTTTTCTAAATGTATCCATTGGTCTTGTCTCATCATATGTGAGCACAGTATTTTATGAATGACGGTCAGACATGTGAAGGTGTCTGTGCAGCAGGTCTTGTTTCTCCTTTATTTTTTCCTTTAAAGTTGGGCCCTAGCTTTCACCAAATTTTACCCAGATGATGCTTCTTGCTAGTATGTGATACCCACTGTGTCATAGCCATCATGGAAGTGTGTAACATTTCATTTTGAACCCATCTATTACTGTCTGTTATGAAGCCAGTGAAGTAATTTTTGAAGGTCAGAGCTGATTTGAATGCATTTTGTTTTACAATTAAACTTCAGTAACAGAAAATTTATTATTTTGAAATGATCAAGTTGTGCGATTGCTCCAGGGAACTCAACATTTTATCAGCGTTTCATTGGCACAGAGGAAGTTGGATTTAATTTCTTAATAAATGTGGTTTCATTTTCACATTGTAATTTGCTGTGATTTCTTTCTTTTTTTTCTTCCTTTTTTTTTTTTTAAGCAAATTTGTTAAACTCTGTGTTTTTACATTTTATATGATGCCACAGACATTCTTCTGTCAAGGTAAAGGTTTAAAAATGTTACTATTTCCAATGAAATGCTTTGATTGGAGTAGTCCAAATTTTAAAGAGGGGAAAATGCCCCATTAACACTCAGTTTTGCTTCTGTACTCCACCACAATGGAAGCGGTGTACAGAAGCAAAACTACAAAAAGAGTCTCAGAGCTTCCTGTAAATTAACAGACGACATGGAGCCGCTGGTCTGTCCATCTCTTGTAGCGCAGCAGCAGTTGTCAACTTTTTCTGTCCCCGCTTGGAACCAGAACATGGTTCATACCTCCCTACACTTTAATGATCAACAACATTAAATTAAAAACAAAACAAGGATCCAAATTTATTAGCTTCAGCAAGCGTATTTTTTTCATGCATAAATCATTTCCTTTCAACTTGGATTTACTCCAGATTTTTTCTTTCAACCAAGGTGGGAAAGTGTTACAAAAGTAAAAAAAAAACAGACATTTGAGTCTGCCTCAATTGTGGTTTATTATTTCTGAATTATAGTGTACCATATTAAACAATGTGGTGAACACTATAACCACAATAGAGGAACATCAGCATGTTAATTTCACAGCCTCACTTAACTCGTGCAGTTGTAGATTTGTTCAGGTTCCTCGATATTAAGTCAGTTATCTGCTTTCTTCCCTACCCTGACTTTGTGATTCATCGGCTAACAGCTAAGCTTAACATTAAAATAAGCTCTGAGGAAAGGCCAGACATATTTCTTTTGCTCCTTGATAATTGTTCTTGTATGGCTTCATTCTTGGTCATTTGTGTGATGTGTAAAGGTTAAAAGTACATGGCCGCTTCACAGTTTGTAGGCTTTGGCTTTCCACTGCTCGTATACCAGGTTAGCAGCCACTGCATCTTCAACTCCCATTCCTGTTATTAAAAAAACAAAGACATTCTCAAAGCATTAAATTTCTTAATGTAATGAGATGAAAACATGAAGTAGAGGCCAGATTGTGTGGCTTTAAAGAGTGAGACTTACCAAGGGACTTAAACACGGTGGTCTTCTCTCTGTAAGCAGGTTTGATCCCATTAATAACATCTCCGAGCTCTGCAAACACCTCAACCTGCAAACGGCACAAACGCTGTAATATTCTTCCTCACATAAGATGCCAGTGACACACACACTGACCTGTAAGCATAACAGGAGATGACACACTGACCCCAGAGAGGATGACATCACCGGACTCTGCCATTGCTCCCTCCCTGCTGTCAGCATACACCACAGCCTCCTTCATCAATGAGTCATCCAGCTCCCGCCAATCTGGCCTGCAAGCTCCCACCGCTGGTTAGAGGAAAAGTAGAGAAACTGTTTTTCTTTTTAAAATTATTTTCTGTAGTAACCGGTAAAAAAACGCTCCATCTGTCTCCTCAGGTTTGCATAACCATCAATGTAAAAAAAATAAAATCTCCCCCACTTCCCTTAAAATATTTTGTGGGTGAATTACTTCTCACCTGCCACATGGGCCCCTGGTTTGACCCACCGGCCACACAGCACTGGCTCTATAGACCTGGTTACTGTTACTATTACATCCGCTCCCCTCACTGCTTCCTCCACTGAACCGCACACCGTCACGGGACCGCCAACTGAGCGGCGAAACTTCTCCGCTCCCTCCCTTCTGTGGTTCCACACCCGCACCTGAAATGAAGTTTCAGGGGAAGCGAAACGACCAACAAATCTTTGATTAGTTGGTGCAGATAATGCATTAATATAGCTGTGATCAGTAACTGAGTAAATACTAAATGCAGTTTTTAAGTAATTTCATTTATTAAGGGATAAAAAATATCCAAACCTACCAGGCCCTGTGTGAAAATGTAATTGTCCCCTTGTTTGCAGATTTAAACCATGCTGGAGCATGAATGGCCTGTTTAAGGTCCTGTCAAAAACATCTCAATCTGATTTAAGTCTGGTCTTTGACTAGGCCACTCCCAAAGCTTAATTTTCTGTTTATTGAGCCAATCAGAGGTGGACTAGCTGGTGTGTTTCAGATCATTGTCCTGCTGCAGAGCCCAGGGCATGAACTGATAACTGGACGTCCTCCTTCAGGATTTTCTGCTAAAGCAGAACATCCTGGAATCATCAAGGAAACCAGGTGCTGATGCAGCAAAGCCTCCTCAGATCATCACATTAACATCACCATGTTTGACTGTTGGTTTGATGTTCTTTTTATGAAATGCTTTGAGTTTTATGGGAAGGTTTGAGTCCCATTACATGTGACTAATGGGAGTTCAGCTTTTCTCTCGTCAGTACACAGAATATTTTCCCAGATGTCTTGGGGATCATCAAGATGTTTTTGGCAAATGTGAGACGAGCCTTTCTTTTCTTTTTGGTCAGCAGTGGTTTTCATGTTGGATCTCTCCCATAGATGCTATTTTTGCCCAGTCTCTTTCTTAATGTGGAATCATGAACTCTGACCTTAACTGAGACAAGTGAACCCAGCAGTTCTTTAAATGTTGTTCTGGGCTCTTCTGTGACCTCCTGGATGAGTCTTCAAAGTGCTTTTGGAGTAATTTGGTAGGCCGGCCACTCCAGGAAAGGAAATTTTCTCCATTTCTGCATAATGGCTCTCACTGTGGCTCACTAGAGTCCCAATTTTGGTGCTTCTTAGAAATAGTTTTACAACCCTTTCCAGACTCATAGATGTCACTGATCTTGTTTCTCAGCTGTTGTGTTACTTTTTAAAATCTTTTAAGCCTGCTTCAGTTTGTCACAGAAGTTCTGTGTAAGTGATTTCTTTATTCAGCAGTAGGGATGGGTACCGGTATCCGGTTCTGACATAAACGGTAGTAACCAGACTGAAAAGCAGCGCACATTTCGGTACTCTGAATGGGACATTTTGGACCAACATTTTACACAGCACTCTCTACCACTATAATAGAAAACACCACGTAAGGAAATATCTTCTGAAGGAATGGTACTTATCTCTAAAGAACAGCTCCAAATACCTGGAGAATTAATGCTAAAGAGCATTAAGAGTGTTCTGGTGGCACACGTCAAAAGACTATTGGTTTTTTCTTTAACATGAATGTATGGGTCATTCATACAATGTTCAGGTACTGCTGCTACTGTTACTGGTCAGAGATCATTTTAAATACAGACATCTGGCAAAATATAGAACACATTTTTATCACTTTCTCACCGACACTGCTAGCAGGTCGGCAGCAGGGACTGCTCAAAGGAATGCTTTGTGCACATGCTTACTACTGTCCCTCTCTGTCAGCCCCACGAAGCTCAGCAAGCTGTGCTGTCACACATTTTGCACATTTAATAAGAGCCGACATCCTTCAGGTAACTCACAGTATGTTCAGTTTTGTGCAAAAGTCTGGGGTCCCTTATGTTGCACAGATTTCTTTAAATGAAAAAATAAAGAAATGAAAACCCCTGCAGCAAACACGCCTCTTAGTGGGGCAGACGTTGCACTTGCTTCTTATTCTTTAATAAATATGTAATAGTATGCTGTACTTAACGTATCATGTTCTCTAAAATAAATATATTTTTTGGAAGCATACCTCTTTAAATGAAAGCATTTCAGTGAAGGCTTTATAGTGACTCAGGGCTTGTTGGCCGGTCCCCAAGATGGCCAGAACCTCGGCTCCATGGCGCATCAGCAGCTGCATTACACACCAGGGCAGACCCAGAAGTTCAGAGCTACAGCAGGATTTCCAGAATAGAAAAGGCATGCTGTGAATAAATCGAGAGCGGAAGTACCTTAGCCGAGATTGCTGAAGCTCCAGCAGTACGCATGTTAGTGATTGCCTCTCCATCCATGACCTGCGGGTTGGAAGCATGAGACTGCAGCTCATAAAACCAAAGCCATCAGAAAGACAGGTGCATGCGGGGATTGAACTCACAGCTTTCATATGCCCGGACTCGGGATCCAGCAGCAACACTGTGGCTGACACTGATGGCAAAGTGGAGCCAGCCCCCCTGTTGTAGAAGCACACTAACTTTGTGGACAGGACTCCGTCATTCTCCATGTATGTCGGCATCAGCCCCAGAAACCTAGAAACGAGAGCGAGTTTCAACCAGCAGTAGCTGCACCCTGTTAATGGTTGATTTGTGCTGAAGCACTCTTGAAGCAGACGGAGGGCCTTACCCGTTGTGTTTCTGCAGGGGCACCGTGGAGCGCACAGGCTGGATAACCTCCGCGCTGTCCCGGCTGGAGAACTTACCTAAAGCCTCCTCCAGACGGGGGATCAGCTCTTTGTAATGCAACAGGCTCTCAACTTCACGCTCCCATATGATAACAGGAGGAGCCCCAGCCATGGCTGCTGCTTCTGAGACGCTGATGCGGAACTGACTTAACTGGTTTGATACAAAGTTTGAGTCAACATCGAGCGGGATTTGAGCTGCGTTCAAGAGCCGCAGTAAAGCTTTTTTAAACATGTTGCGCGGAGAGAGGCGGGACGCACAGAGGAGGCTGTATAATCCACTGCGCTTTCCAAGCGCCAGGCTCCCGTAGTCTGTGATTTGGCACCAGTTTAAGGGGAGAAAGTATTCAAACAAGCCAATCTCAGGTTGATACCCACTTAATCCGTGTTTAAGTGTTGCAGTTTCTACGCAAACGATTGTGAAACAATGTCCTGTCTTCAGATTATAACCAGTAACGGGGCCAGCTAGATGCTGCTTTCACGCCCCCTAGCAGGTTTGTAAGTCCTTTGACTTCCACAGTTGTTAGTATTTGTATGACTGTAGAAATTCGGAATTATGAATTCATTACTTTTAATTGACAATTTACATCCGTGCTTTTGAGAATGTTTCCCGACTGATTATTTATCCTGATGCAAAAAAAAAGAAAGAAAACAAATTGTAATTAACATTTTGATGTAGTGATCAGTGTAAGAACGTGTTTTATACAGTACTGTACAAAGGTTTTGAGCCAGAAGAAATTGGAAAGAGGTGATCGATTTATCAAAACACATGCAAAAACATACGGAATTACAGCATATACAGCAAAAACAGTTTGTTGGGTCAGTGTTTGGTATGACCACATTTATTCTTTCAATTCTCTTAGGATAGTTTGCCTGTCATTTCTTTTAGTCTTTGAGAATAGTTGTCAAGGCTGCTTGACTTCAGCCATGCTGAAGACAGTTTGAACCAAACATTTCAAAGCCATCACTAAATATGACCTGTTTGCCACTGATTTCCATCCCAGTGTTTCTGTAACCTGGTGTAACCTTTTCTCCATGTTTCCTTCCACTGAGACCATTTCTGATAAGGCTTCAGTGAAGAATAGATGCATCTCTCAGGTCCTGGGTCAGGTCTCTCAAGGACATGATTTTCAGATAGTCCTCATCTGCTATTTTCTTTGACACACATCAGACCATGCAGAGATACGCCCCGTTTTCTGTTACTAACCATTTGGGAATCACTTTGTTTTTACTCATCTTGAAATTTTTTTTTTAATGAACACAAGACCAGGTTTTAAAAAATAACAAAAAGAATTATTTTATTAAGAAGTGAGCAGGGCTACTACAAACTCCTGATGAGAAACATCGGTCCCAAAAAGCAAGAAACAAAACAAAAACACAATTAAACATGATTTTTCCCCCTCATGTTTAATCAAACAAAGGACAGCACTATTTAAAATGGGTTTTTTTTTTTCCCCTCAAGGAGTTTTTGTCAGTGAAAGAAAAATCACACAAGCAGTCTCTCAATGGCCATCTGAACAGACTGGATCTGTGGCTTGAGCTGAGACCCCTCTTTTATAGTGACTGAGGTAGCGATAACGGGGCGCGACACCCCACAGGCCCGGCCCAAGGCCTGCTTGGAGCGGACAAACACGTAGGGGACGTTCTTGTCCTCGCAGAGCAGCGGCAGGTGGAGGATGATCTCCAGTGGTTCCGCATCAGCAGCCATCACGATAAACTCAGCGATGCCTCTGTTCAGGGTTTTAGTGGCTGGGGAAGAAAGAGCAACTTGAATACAGCAAGTTTGTTCTTGGAAACAAAAAAAAAACCAAAACAATGCTCAGCATATTACAGGTTACACAAGAAAAAGTACCCTTCATTACTGCTGCACCGTTATTCTTTTTGTGGCCCACAACAAAAATAAAAGTGTCTGTTTAACACATTTTTCACAAGCACTTTAATAAGAGTAATTCATATAATAAAAGCACTCAACATTGGCTAATAATTAGCCTCCACAGGAAGACACAGCTACGGTGTAATTTAACAATTATCTGTGTAAACAATACTAAAAGTTATTTTTCTTCTCGCAGGCATTCCATTCATGCAGAAATCAGAGGCTTGTGACTAAAGCTTGTTGTTTAAAGTGAAGAGAAACCACGTTTCGAGCATGCTGGTGTCGCCTGTCCACTCAAATGCGTTCATTAACAACTTAAATATTAATTTGCACCGACCGTGTCGTACGGCACGTTGTGTTTACCCACCTTCGTTGGCTCCCTTCCTCAGTTGCTTATAGTTTGAGGCTTGCTGCACCAGATCCAGGATAGTTTTGGTCAGCGTGGCATCGGCCAGCGGGTAGGCCTTTGGGTTGACTTGTGCTTCAGTCTGCTCACCACACAGAAACAAAGTAACTCCATGTTAACCAAGAGAAACCAGTTAACGGGGAAAAATAGTCACCAGCACTGTTTCTGGTCACTTCTACTGAATTCTGCACTTAATTTACTATGCTCGCTGGTAGCTAACTAGCTACTCTGTTAGCTTGTTCGTTCGAGAAGACACTCACCATGGTGTTTTTGTGCTATTCCGGCCCTCTCGGCGAAATGCTTCACGGAGGACTATTTTAATTCGACTGGCTTCTGAAAGATTAACGATACGATGCAAAATGCGATCTCCTGTGATGTATTTTACAGCGGTACCAACTCTCTAAGCTCCGTCGCATGCAACGAGTCCAAACGTTTGCCACACGTGTGGTGTGAGGCGCATGCGCACTGGCAAAGCTGGCGAAATCACAGGAAGTGCTTTGGGAGGAAAAAAAACGTTGTTAATAAATTGAAAAATACAACGAAACAAGTCACTTTCATTTTTTTTTTACCAAATAAAAGACAACCTGGAAAGGGATTACATTTTTTTTATTGAACAACAAATACCTTTTAAAATAAATACACGGAATTTTTTTTCTTTTCCCTTCAGCTGCTCCCTTCAGTGCTCAGCACATCTGCCCTGTGCCAAAGTAGTTCAACCTGGCAACATTCTGTTCTTTCACAGCAACCCTCCGCATGTGCTTCTTCACTACATCCATGAACATCCTCTGTGGTTTTCATTTTATCCTCCTGCCTGGCAGCTCCACATTCAACATCCGTTTACATAATTTCTAGTCCAATGAAAAAAAATATTTAACACATAAAATTATTTTATTTTATTTTATTTTATTTTATTTTATTTTATTTTATTTTATTTTATTTTATTTTATTTTATTTTATTTTATTTTATTTTATTTTATCTCCAGGGCAGCAGAGGGCGCGCGGTCACTGACTAGGCACCGTTTACAAGCGAAGAAAGCGCTGAGCATTCTGGGTAGGGCACTTTGAAGCCAGCCATATTGCTTCATCGTCCTGACCCAAGGCAAGAGGGGAGATGAAGGGGATTCGGGGAATCGGTCAGCTATCGGTGAGGACTCGGGCAATGTGTCCTACGTGTCTGTGTGTCGGAACATTTGCACACCGAGCTGTGGGCTGTGTTTGTTAGACGGTGTCTAAATTCCGGGTCGTGTCCGGGCAGGCTTTGATGAGGAGCAGACGAGGAAGCAGTCAGCTAAGTCTTGTCATGAATGACTCCGAGCATAACCAGCAATAACCTGCTAGTTACATCACGAACCCCGCGGATTTTAAGTCGTTGTACACCCAGCTTACTACTGTCTATTCAGTTAATTCAAGTAAGGCTTAGAGAAATCAAACTAGTTGACGTCTGAGAGATGAGAGCTAGCTAGGTTCATGTTTATGAAGGACCTAGCCGTCGAGTTGCTTAACTTACATTTCCATTTTACTATCTAATGATATCTTCCTCTTTCTTATCTGCAATATTGTGCAGTTATTGCAGTTTGGATTTTGCAGTAAACATCTACACTTATGTGTGTTTACTGAGTGAGAACCTTTGCAGCCTGAAATGGTAGATTGTAGCTAGTTTTAAAAAGATAAGTTCTTACTTTTTCACATTTGTCGTTAAAGGCTTGTAATGTTGTTTGCCATCGTTCTGATGGAACACACCAAGAACCATATATAGGTTGTTATTACATTTCAGAGTACATTACAATCTTACAAATCCTTGATACCTTCAAAGATAATTTGGAAGAATTGACCTGCAGATTAAAACCAGGTGATATGCTTAAACAAAATGCAGAACAGAGACTTGTCATAAGATTATTTTTCATTGTCATAAGATTATTTTTTCACCTGCATAATACTAGCTTCATAGTTAGTCACAACATTCAGTTCTTTTAGTACAGGCTGCCCTACTAATGCCATTGATCCCATTATTTTAAAGTTTGTGCTCATATCAGCCAAAAGGCCAGCAAAACATTAGTTGTAATGTCCTGCCTTCCTGTATTCTTTGTGTTTTTTTTCCCCAGACAAGGTTTTATGCAGCCCAGGCTGCCCGTAAGGTGGAGGTCACTGGTTTTCATCCACAGGATGTTCAGGTCAGTGGTTGTTGACTTCTTTTTCTTCTCTGCAGAAACGCTTCTATGCGGCTGCCAGAAAAGACCAGTCCCTTGCTCAGCCCCTGGCTGGCCTCAGCCTCTCTCCCAGGGTTGGCCATTCCTACCAGGATGTCCACGTATGTCGGGCAGTGATGAGAATTGTAGTATATATTGGTTGTGTTTTAAGCTTTATCTGTTTGTTTCACCTTGCTGAATATAAATGTTAAGTAATCTAACTAAATGCCCGCATTATCTGAGCTGTATAAATGAAAGCCAAGGAAACCAGTTAACTGAATCACTGCCTATAACTCGGGGTACTAAGAATGCTAAAGGACATCTCTATATGTCTCCAGGTGACCAGGCTGCCCAGTGGGCTGGTTATCGCTTCACTGGAGAATTATTCTCCAGCCTCCAAAATTGGAGTCTTCATCAAGGCTGGGTGTCGCTATGAAACCCCTGAAAACCAGGGTGTCACCCACCTCCTCCGGCTGGCGTCCGGTCTGGTATGTAACTTAAAAAAAATCATCACATTTAGCTTGAAGTAAACATTGTCATCATCAACCTTGGTCCTTTGGTGTTGTTGAAAGACAGAAATGAATATAGCTGCAGAAGCACCGGAATACAAACCAAATCTTTATTCAGTTTTAGGTAAAAGTCTTATTTTGATTAGAAATATAACAGTGTTTACATATTAAAAAGCCTGCACAACTGTTGTTAATAAATGGAGCTTAAGACCACTGCTTTTGTAATCGTGTGTAACATTGCTTCATTTCAGTTGACATTTTACTTAACTTTTCTACCTTTTCAGACAACCAAGGGAGCTTCAGCTTTCAAGATATGCCGTGGTATTGAGGCAGTGGGAGGCAGTCTTAGGTCAGTAACTAAAAGGTTTATCCTGTAAACAGTCATTTAATGCTGATTTTTTTAGGTGTCTAATTGCATATCTGTTTATTTCTGTGCAGCGTGACTTCATCCAGAGAGAATATGACCTACACCGTTGACTGCTTAAGAGATGACGTGTGAGTCTCTGCATATCACCTGTGTGTATGATGTGTGTTGACATGATTGAGTAATAGTAATAATAATGTAATGAAAATGTTTGAAGTACTAGGAGATACTTAAAGAACTTTGTCTCTTTCTGTTTACACACTTTTCCATATTTTGGTGAAATGACTACATTCACTGGAACATATGAGTGCTTTGAGATGTGATGTTGCAGGAGTGATAACTGTCTTTTCCCGCTTGCTCTATTATTGGTCTCTAGTGACACAGTGATGGAGTATTTGATCAATGTGACAACAGCCCCCGAATTCCGTTCGTGGGAGGTGTCAGACCTCACCCCAAAAGTAAAGGTGGACAAGGCACAAGCTGCACAGAGCACCCAGATAGGTGGGCCCTTTGTTTCTCTCACGACACTCAGTTTTTTGAAAGATTTTTAAGGGATCTGTTGTTTTAATATAGAACTACTTAATTTATATTCCCACCTGTGAGCCTGATTAATATTTTAAAAAGCTTCTTGGTTGTTTGATTAATCAATAATTACCCTGTAGAGCCTAGATACCAAACTGTCATATAGGGACAGTAATGTTCTCTCTGTTTTTTCTTCACCATGAGTGCGCTGCAGCTAACAGTCACCCATCCATCTTTTTCAGGTGTGGTTGAAGGTTTGCATGAAGCTGCCTACAAGAACGCTCTGTGTAACTCCTTGTACTGCCCAGACCACATGATCAACGACATCCACTCTGAGCATGTGAGTATATATTTTTATTTGTCTTTTATCAGTACGAAACATACAAACTAAAACAATTATGAATTATTGCAATGTTTCCATTTTTCCCCAGCTGCACCAGTTTGTCCAGAACAATTTCACCAGTGCAAGAATGGCCCTTGTTGGACTTGGTAAGTGTTAGGATTTAAAGTATTTTCCATATAAAGAAAGAAGTAGCCAGATTTTGGATAAACGATAACAATGCTTACCTTTCTACTAGGTGTTGACCACACTGTGCTGAAGCAAGTGGGAGAGCAGTTCCTCAACATCCGCAGTGGAGCCGGCACCACAGGGGCTAAGGCACAGTATCGTGGAGGTGAGGCGAGCTGGCTGAGAGGGGGGAAGGAAAAGGAAAAAATATAGGATTTAAGCAAATTTTGAATGAATGATTCCAACCTGAGAAATTGATAGACCTTGCAGACTTCCCTGTCTCATGACCTCGTGCCCATTTCCAGGTGAGATTCGCCTGCCCAGCACCAGCAGTCTGGTCCATTCAGCTGTGGTGAGCCAGTCAGCAGCAGCAGGCACCAGCGAGGCTCTGGCCTTCAGTGTGCTGCAGCATTTACTGGGAGCTGGGCCGCACGTCAAGAGAGGAGCAGGCGTCGCCAGTAAACTGGTCCAGGGTGTTTCCAAGGCAACAGCAGACCCCTTTGATGTGAGTGCCTTTCAGTTTTGTAAGATAAATTGTAAATAAGCCATACGCCTACAGAGCAGTGTGTCTGCACATTAACCACAAAAACACAATCCAGCTTTATTCTAATTCAGTCTTCGTCTCCCACACCAGGTCACTGCTTTCAATACAAGCTACTCTGACTCTGGTCTGTTTGGGGTCTACACCATCTCTCAGGCTGCAGCTGCCGGTGATGTGAGTATGCCCCGTAGTCTTGAAAATAATTTTTCTTTTCTTTCCCCCCAAATGAAACTGCTATTGAGAGCACTGTTTCACTCTTCTCTGCAGGTGATCAAGGCTGCTCTTGCCCAGGTGAAGGCTGTTGCTGACGGTGGAGTCACAGCTGCTGACCTCACTCGAGCAAAGTGAGTCAGACAGACAGAAACAGGATGAGAGAGACCCGACAGAATGTACCTCTGACAGAAAATGTACATTTTCTGCTATTTGGCTATAGAAACGCTGGGGGGGGGTTATTTTAAAGATTTTTAAATTTTCAGGTTTAGGTTAATGAAGTTAGTGACAAATAATGCTGATAGATTCATCGGTATATAGAGTAATTAAAATTAGCTTCTTTTTTTTGTTTTTCAAGGCAGGAAAAATATGAAAGGGGCCGCTGGCCTGTATAAAAGGAAGATGTTACATGCGCACTGGATTGTGTTATGTAATTTAAAAATCCTTTAAACACGCTGCAGTAGAGAGAAGCATCTCATTTTTACTGGCATTGTATGATTTATCTGCCTTCAGGAGTGAGTTCAGACTTCTCCCACAGCTTGTAATTTTTTTTTTTTTTTTTTTATTTATTTTTTTTGTACAGCTGCCACTTGTTGCCTCTTTTGTGGCGTCATTGTTGATATAGAGCTAGCAGATGTTTTGGACATTGATCCCAATTATGAATTTGGCTTCTAAGTGTTCACTACCAAATGCATCCTTTCATTTGCAGTGGTGCATTTTCAACCCTCCCTAAAAGCTCAAACCCACCTGATGTTTAGAGTCTTTAAGGAACAGTCTGTCTTGGGTCTATTTGATGAGTCTGTGGAACGGTTCTGGTGGCCTGCAATTACTTTTAATTTGATTCGGGGTGTGTCACAGTCTGCTTTTGGTAGCACGTAATAGCTGACTGATGGCTTCACCTCTCTGTCACTGGCCCCACTAAAGAATGCAGGTCCACTGCCACTTGGGCCTTTCTTCACACCTGTCTGCAGCTGCAGTTGACCCCTGGTGGAGGCTGGCCAGCTGGACCCAGCAGCTGCTCTTGCCAGACTGGTTTCATGTTCAAAACACCCCCTAACTAGGACCTGACTCACTACTGGATGAAGCTCTGCCCTCCATCACCTCCATATTTCTTTTTTCTTTTTACTCATTCCTGTATTTTTTTTAAAAACATTTGCAGATAAATAAGATTCCTTATTAAAACTTTTAAACAATTTTAAACTATGCCAACTGCATAATGTTTAATACATTCCCCCCCCTCGTTTCTTTCTGCAGGGCTCAGCTTAAGTGCCACTACCTGATGTCTCTGGAAACCTCAGAGGGTTTGCTGGAAGCCATGGGCAGTCAGGCTCTGACTGATGCATCCTACCAATCCCCCGAAGAAATCTCCAAAAAAATTGACAACATTTCCTTGACTGATGTTGCTAATGTAAGACTTTGTTTTGTTTTTTGTCTGTGCTTTGTCGTAGTGTAAAAGTGGCGTGTAAACTTAGCTCTTCTTCTTTTTTCAGGCTGCCAAAACATTCGTATCTGGAAAGAAGACCATGGCATCCAGTGGCAATCTTGTAAAAACACCCTTCGTGGATGAGATCTAAATCCCACCCTCATCACCACACACTCAAGCGTGGTTGACAGCAAAGCAGAATTCGTTTCTTCTACATTTGAACAACAACAAAAAAAGGATTATTTTACAATGGTGTTCTCCTCAGACATTTGTTGTAACAACACTGGGTATTTATAGGTGTTGAAACAGTATACTTTCAGGTGATGCTGCTCTGGTGCATCACACTCATGTGTCCACGTTAACTGTATAGCTGATGTAAAATAAGGAATAAATTCTATCTACTGCACCGAGTTTAAGGTCATTGGTGTCTTGAATAAAAGTTTGAGTTGGTGGAAACTGATCAAATCAGACTTGAGTTTACTTGATCTGATAATAACCACAGTGTGGCTGCATGCTTTCGGGAATGGGGCTTTAGTCCCCACCGTGTGTGTCCAGGAAATCATTACCACCTACATAAATCTGCACGATGGAAAAAAAAAAAAAGCTGCGAGAGTTTACGGATTTTCTCGCGAGAGTGACGGGCGTGGAGACGGGAGGGTAGAGGTAGGCTGTCTAGATTTGAGTTTGTCTTCCTCTGAGAAAGCAGGGTCATTTTGCGAGGAAAGAAGGCGTTCAATGAGAAGTAAGAAAGCTGGATGTGCGAGTGTGGGGGGTGAAGCTCCGGAAAGCCGCTTTAATGTGAGCATGGGCGGCGTTTTCCGCCTGTGGTCTTCCCGAGGTAGGAAACAGCTTCCATATGTGGGGAGAGAGATCGGACTGTTCATGCAAACTCAGGCACCAAGTCCAGTGCATGCATAAAACAGTATTTTGTTCTTTAAATATAATCTCCACTCGTGTTTTCCCCACGAATATCACCGAGATGCGGTGGAGCGACCCGTGACCCCCTGAAGCGATACTCCCCTCCTGGGCCAGCAGGTCGGGTCAGTCAGTCCACTTTCGGAGGAACAACAAAGAGAAATCACCCCATGCATGGACATCAAACCACCGGAAATTAAATACAATGTGAAGAGAGGGCGTGGAAGAGGCACAGGCCAAATTCCACAGTGATGGGACACGACATGCGGGTTTAGGTCACTTCTCGATGCCCTGTCTCCCTCGGTCCCTCCTTTTGTGTTCACCGACATGGATAAACTCACGGTGATATCAGGATGTCTCTTTCTAGCTGCGGACATCTTCGCCATCGCCAGCGTTGCCAACCCGGACTGGATCAACATCGGAGAATCAGGCGGTAGGTTGCGGACACTCCAGCACTGTGTTTTGTTTTTTGTGCTTTGCATGCGGGGAAGTCGGGGTGACACAGGAAAAGGAAATCTACCAACAACCACATGAGATGAAAAAGTTTACCCACTGTAGAAAAATAAGCAGACAGCAGAACAATTGTGGAAGATTGCACTCTTAATTCTGTCTTCTTATTAAAAACAACAACAAAAAAAAAAAGCTGCTCAATAACAACCAGCTGCACACACTGTTTCACTATTTAGGTATTTAAGTCTCTGACAAGCACATGGCCTGATGCCACAGCCACCATGCTTTACTGTAGGAGGGCATCACCTGGTTTAACCTTGCATGATGGGTGCTGGAGAATCTTTTTTTCCCTCCAGCTCTCAGAGTCCTTTAAATACCATTTGGCATGCTGTCAGCTGTTTTCACACATGCAGTGCATCCCTGAACTTTGGAAGGTCAGGTTCTGGACTGTTTTCTATTATTAAGATGAAAATAGTCCAATAGGTTCATAGCATGAGATGACCAGACCTGACTTCTTCACCTTCTACCCTGGCAGCACCCTCACCTAAATCAGAATATTTCCAGAACATGCAAAAAGTGGCCTTTCTCCTGCGCTATTCAGCACGTGAGAAAGAACAACAGGGAACTCAAGTGTCTTCCTTTTGCTGCCCCGCCATTAAGACTTGTTTCATGGACTACTGCTGAGATGGCTGTTCTTCCTCCAGGTTCTTCTGGCTCTACCGGGGAACCTAAAGCTCCATTATGGTGACCGCTCTTTGATAAGGACCTACTCACTCTTTTGGTCACTTTGGTCATCTGCTGTTTCACAATTACTGAGGTCATGGTGTTTATGGAAACACAGTTTCTTTGATCTGTGTTTCACCAACGTCACACTGTGGATGTCTACAGAGTTACTTGGACTATGGTGAAGTCCTGATAGATGTGTTTTACAAACTATGTCCAGTCCATTCAGTTTGCTGACAGTAGAGTCCTGCCACGGTTTTGACACATAAGGATAATTTAAAGCAGATAGTGTGTAGTTGGCCTGCGTTTGTGATAGGCTTGCAGCAAAGGCACCAAACCCTTCCAAATGATAGATTAATACTTTTGCAAAAAGTCTATTAAAAAGGCATACACTTGTTGTTACAGGTAACTAAATGTACACTGGAGGACAAACATTTATATTTTAAATGATTATACAATTTAAGAATTTGGTTTGCTCAGTTTGGTTTGCTCAGCTGTTTCTTTGCATAAAATTAGATGATTAGTGGTTATTGGTAAGCGTGCGCTACAGCTGAAGATGTAGTTTCAGCCTTCCTGGTTATCTGCTTATTGCAGTAAAGCAATACACAGATGCAGCATCCAAAGCTAAACATTGACTAAAACTGGCACAAACGACTGTGTGCACAGCTGCACGAGGCTCTTGTCACCTCCATCAAAATGCTTCAGAGGAGCAGAGACAAGGATATAACAGCCGTACTGAGTGGTCATTACAGGATTGAATTTGTTCTTTAAAAAATAAATGGTTTCAGCTGCTCGTTAAGGATATAAGAAGCGGTTATTTTTGCACGATTAAATGAGAAACAGGTAAATGTTTCTTTTATAAAATAGTTGCCATAGCCATAGTTGTAAACGAACTGAAGCTCAGAAAGAGCTCACATTGTGAAGCTCTTATCTCCTGTTCCTCAAAGTAAATAATAGTGTGAAATGACTGTAGTAAAAGCCTTGTGTGCCTGTCTAATTAGCTGGATGGTAATTATCTGAAGGCAGGAAGTGCTGTGTGGGACTGAGGATGTTTGACTTTTAATTGGACCTCTTGGGAAAGTAATTTTTTCCACCCGGACAATTAAGTTCTAAATGCTCAGTTCTGACATAATTCATTTTAGCCGTGTGTGCTCAGTGTAGTCACGTCTTCCTCAAACTGATAAATATATATCGTATTGTGTAAAAACAAACTCTAATCCTCATTTAGGTGATTCAGTTTGAAGTAATCAGTATTTTCCTTACAGGGACACCGTATATTAAATTACTAGTGCAATCACTCTCAGAGAGATTGTCAAAGGTTTTCAAATATATCAATGAGTGCAACTCGAGAGGATTCAACTGGTTTCAGCTGGTTGTATTTTGGTTAATTCCAACAGAAAAGGAAGGCTGAGCTCAAATGTAATAGTTACATGTGAATTTCTGTCTATGTAGACAGTAACAGATATGTGATTTTCGATGATTTATTGCAGCGAATTGCTGTATTATCAGAAACAGACTGCATGTAATTGCCAACTTGGCCCCATTTAATTGCAGACTGATGGCTGACTGACTGTTTTATGAGAACATCTGTGGCAGGTTTTAGTGACAGTGTGCATGATAGTGCTTGATAGTCTTATTTTGCAGCAAAAAAGTATCTTATTGGATAAAACTGATATTGACAAAGCATGTTACAGAATGGTAAAAGTCGGAATAATCTCGTATCATGGGATGTCTGGTGATTCCCATCTGTAGCCTACATGTATGACTGAACATTTGCGAACACGCCGAACACTTCAAGCACAATTGATGCCAAAATATTCAAAAAGTGCTCGAGACGGAAATCCTCAGCCACCACAGGGTCAAATGGCACATCAGGTGTTAAGTGCCTGAGTTTAGGTGCTTTTTATATGACCTCCACAGTTAGCCATTCGCATTTTAGGTGTTGATTTTCTTAGTTAGGTTATCGACTGCATACTTGCTGAAAACCTAGCTTCGTTTCCTTTAGGTAATGAAAGATTACTTGTGAAGTTCTTTCTCCAGTTTCCTGTAGACAGCTGATTACGTTTAGTGACCCAAACAAGCTGTAATCAGAATGTTGCATTTCTGTTCCCGGTCTGTTCGGATGAGCAGATGTTTGTCCCTCAGGGCAAAAGCTTTCAGAGTTTGGATGATTGTGTGAATGTGTAGCCACAGCAGACTTGATTTTTGGATCATTAGGGCAGTTTCCAGGGAAATGGATCCACCATTTGCACTTTCCTCCACCCTGTGGTAAGAACAGGATGTCCTGTGGAAATGGGGTCTAGGTCAGCCTGCGGGGGGATCTGACTCAGGCCTGATGTTTCCTTCAGCCGGCCGTTCTATCATCACCCCAACATTAGGATCTTTGTTAACATGCATGGTCTAAAGTATTCAATTCTTTTTATGTGAAGCAGCTTTTTGTGCTGTACTTGTCTCGTGGGTGGAGTGAGGATAAAAACCACATGTGCATTTACAAATACTTAACAGTTAAATCTAAATTGACAGCGGCTTGATTGCTGTGAGTACCAGATGTTTATTCAAATGCGGTTTATTGTATTTAATTCCCTGCCAAATTAAAAGATGTTTCAGTGCTTCACTGTTTTTTTCCTTCTCTCTTTTTTATGCGGTTTGCTTGTAATCACGTTAAGTGTGTTAATACTACACTCATTGGGTCGAAATAACCTTGATTGCATTGCTAAATGCTAAAAATGTATACAGCTTCTCTTCTAAAGATAATTCAGGGAAAGAAAGAAAACAGAGTGAGGCGAGTGAACAAATGATAGTGTGGGAGGATTTTATTTAGCTTTTTTTTTTCCACTCTCAGTGCGCGCACTGGTTTGCTTGGAGTCTTATCTTGTTGGCGTGGATGCAAAGTTGAGCAGATGCAGTCTCTGTTGGGCTCCAAGTGCAGACAGTAGCCCTCCTACCTGATATCACAGCACCCACCAGGCCTCTGGGAGACAGGAGGCCATCAGAGGACTCGCGCCACTAATCTCTTCATTTCCGTTGCTCTCTCTGTGCATGATGCTTTGCCGTTTTGTGCCAGAACTCCTGACCTGTTTGATATCATACTGCTGCTGGTGTTCTACCGATCAACCAGTTTTTTATAATAGCAGGTTCCTCGGGCCCCTGTGGACTGTGGTGGGGAGGGGAGAAAGACTCCTGCAGGGTCATCATGTCAACAGTGTCTTTCTACAACATTAAACACTACTCACAGTAGACGTGAAGCTTAAAGGGAAGAGTCTATCAGTCACATACTGACTATTTAGCCACACTAACTACATGCAGATTGTGTGTGTTTGTGGCATAGACTGTAAATAAAAGATGTCTCCATTTCTTCACCCATCTGATCTAAATGAGAAAGTGTGGCCACTGCATGCTGCCCGCCGCAAGGTATACTCTGCTTTGTCGTACTTTTTGTCTCTAATGTGGGACAGAATGTAAAAAATGAACATTATGTTGCACTCAGTAAACTGTGAAACTAGTGATAAAAATCATAAACTCCTCAAGACGGTGTTTACTGAGCTCTTAGATCAAGTGAGCATACAGTCTTTGAAAGCTGCCCCCTTCAGGTCATTAGAAATGATGCCGGAATAAGGTCCTTCACCATCGGCTTAACTTTCTCAACCTGAAAGTTCATTGTCTATTAAAGTCTATGGTTTGTGTTACAGAAATAACCCACCCCACAGCTGTGATGTCATTTCTTTCCGATGTTACTGATTGGTCCATAAAAACAAAGCAATGTTATATTTTTCCAGCTACAAAGGGGAAAGAAACACAAATACATAAGTCTGTTAAGTGAAATAACAAAAGCTGCTGTGGGAAAACTGGGCGTGTCTTGCTAGCAGAAACCAGACCTGGAAGTTTCAGAGGATAAGCACAAACAACAGCAGAGAAGTCTTTTTGTGTTTTTGAGGTTTTTAGGGCCAAGTACAATAAAGTGAGTATTGTCTGCATCTAGAAGTATAAAACTGTGGGTCATCCAGGCTTCTAGGTAAAAGTTTTAGTTTCATTTCTTTCATCTTTCATAGATGAATATATCTGCGCAATGGAAACATATATAAAGTGATAAGTATTGGGGTCTAAATGACCTTTAATTTCAGTGGGAACCAAGACATAAAACGAGTCATGGTTTATTAAAAAGATGCAGAATTTGCCCCAGCACAAAGTTTTAAATAACTCAGTTTTGGCCCTAGAAGTTGTACTTCTACCACCATCTTTTCTGTGGTGGAAATGGCCCATGTTGCCCTCTGATAATATTTTTGGTAGTGGTCCTAGAACAGATCCCTGTGGAACTCCGTGACTTTTATGTGGATGGATCAGTGTAAATACAGTGGGGCAAAAAAGTATTTAGTCAGCCACCGATTGTGCAAGTTCCCCCACCTAAAATGATGACAGAGGTCAGTAATTTGCACCAGAGGTACACTTCAACTGTGAGAGACAGAATGTGAAAAAAAAAAATCCATGAATCCACATGGTAGGATTTGTAAAGAATTTATTCGTAAATCAGGGTGGAAAATAAGTATTTGGTCAATAACAAAAATACAACTCAATACTTTGTAACATAACCTTTGTTGGCAATAACAGAGGTCAAACGTTTACTATAGGTCTTTACCAGGTTTGCACACACAGTAGCTGGTATTTTGGCCCATTCCTCCATGCAGATCTTCTCGAGAGCAGTGATGTTTTGGGGCTGTCGCCGAGCAACACGGACTTTCAACTCCCGCCACAGATTTTCTATGGGGTTGAGGTCTGGAGACTGGCTAGGCCACTCCAGGACTTTCAAATGCTTCTTACGGAGCCACTCCTTTGTTGCCCGGGCGGTGTGTTTTGGATCATTGTCATGTTGGAAGACCCAGCCTCGTTTCATCTTCAAAGTTCTCACTGATGGAAGGAGGTTTTGGCTCAAAATCTCACGATACATGGCCCCATTCATTCTGTCCTTAACACGGATCAGTCGTCCTGTCCCCTTGGCAGAAAAACAGCCCCATAGCATGATGTTTCCACCCCCATGCTTCACAGTAGGTATGGTGTTCTTGGGATGCAACTCAGTATTCTTCTTCCTCCAAACACGACGAGTTGAGTTTATACCAAAAAGTTCTACTTTGGTTTCATCTGACCACATGACATTCTCCCAATCCTCTGCTGTATCATCCATGTGCTCTCTGGCAAACTTCAGACGGGCCTGGACATGCACTGGCTTCAGCAGCGGAACACGTCTGGCACTGCGGGATTTGATTCCCTGCCGTTGTAGTGTGTTACTGATGGTGACCTTTGTTACTTTGGTCCCAGCTCTCTGCAGGTCATTCACCAGGTCCCCCCGTGTGGTTCTGGGATCTTTGCTCACCGTTCTCATGATCATTTTGACCCCACGGGATGAGATCTTGCGTGGAGCCCCAGATCGAGGGAGATTATCAGTGGTCTTGTATGTCTTCCATTTTCTGATGATTGCTCCCACAGTTGATTTTTTCACACCAAGCTGCTTGCCTATTGTAGATTCACTCTTCCCAGTCTGGTGCAGGTCTACAATACTTTTCCTGGTGTCCTTTGAAAGCTCTTTGGTCTTGGCCATGGCGGAGTTTGGAGTCTGACTGTTTGAGGCTGTGGACAGGTGTCTTTTATACAGATGATGAGTTCAAACAGGTGCCATTCATACAGGTAACGAGTGGGGGACAGAAAAGCTTCTTACAGAAGACGTTACAGGTCTGTGAGAGCAGAGATTTTCCTTGTTTGAGGTGACCAAATACTTATTTTCCACCCTGATTTACGAATAAATTCTTTACAAATCCTACCATGTGGATTCATGGATTTTTTTTTCACATTCTGTCTCTCACAGTTGAAGTGTACCTCTGGTGCAAATTACTGACCTCTGTCATCATTTTAAGTGGGGGAACTTGCACAATCGGTGGCTGACTAAATACTTTTTTGCCCCACTGTAAGTCTATGACAGCACAACTGTAAATAGTGTCATTAGTAAAATACTGTGATCAGTATGCAGCACTGAAGTCTAAATGCAGTGTAGTGATATACTGACTGAAACTCTCCAACGATCCATTCTCATGCATTTCGTCACATTTCCTTTGGAGCAGGCTTTCTTACCTGTCTCACAACTCCTATTAGTGGAGAAGAGATCTTTTGATTCATACTGTGCCAATGACAAGATTTATCCTGTATTTCAAAAGTTGTTTTTTTTTTTTTTTTGGAGTACCTTTACTCGTCATTCTTTGGTGAAAATGTACAGAACCAGCACTGCTTTGATGAAAACCTGAATCGATATTCACCTAAAATAATCAATACCATGTTCTATAGAGACCATTGTGTATGCCACACAATGATGTTTGCTTATTGTTTGTCTCAGCGTGATTTTTCTGCTTTGTTGATGGATGCAACATCACAAACCTCATTTTTCTCATATTTCACCTACCTTCCTTCCTCTCCCCAGGCTCTTTGACTTTGGGTCTCGTCCGGCAGTGCCAGACCATCCATGGCCGAGATCGGACCTGCACCCCCCCACGGCTGCCGGGAGAATGGATCACCGTGCTGCTCTTCATCATCCTGGGCATCATCTCCCTTACAGTCACCTGCGGTCTTGTTGTGATGTCACACTGGCACCGAGAGGCCAGCAGATATGCCCGATGGATCGCCTTCACGGGGAGTACGTATCCACTGCTACAATTTGCACTCAATCAAAAAATGCGCTCAAATAATCTTTTTCAGTTTCACCTGCGAGCGTGGCTCTGGGATGTGTTTACAGGCCTGTGGTTACTCACAGCGGGGATTGTAAAATGACTTTTTCCCTTTCTGCAAATGACTGGCTTATGTGCTCCAGCTAAACTTGAACTTGCTGAGATTTGCAGTGCAGCTGTGTGCTAATGGATGTAGAGTACCAAACCAAAATTATATAATAAATTCAGAAAAAAGCTGTGAAATAAACTTCAGCTACCTCTGCTTCAGAATTATTTTCACTGTGGGAAAGCTCAGGTAATCATGAAAACATAAAAATATATATAAGGAGCTCTGTTTAATAGCTGCTAGTTTTTATTTTCGTAGAAAAGAGACATAATTAGTGTGCAGAGAGTGTCATATTACTTTAAATGTTTAAAAGAAAAACATTCAGGTTAATAACAGCTGGTCAGTGTTTTGGTAAGTGGACTGGTGCTTATATAGTGCTTTTCTACTCTATTACAGCACTCAGAGCATTCACACACACGTTCATACAAGTGCATTTTTTACGTCTAATGCTTTTAATCTAACATTCACACACTCACACTCTGGTATCAGGGGCAATCTGATCAGCAGTTTGGCCAAGGATGCTTTAAAATGCATTCTGGTGGAGCCAGGAATCGAACCACTGACCTTCTGATTAGTAGGCGATGCACTCTACCTCCTAAGTGACACTTGAGACCCCAAGATTAACTCCATCACTGACTCCACCATCTCAACAGCCAGAACGGCCCACTGTGTAGGCTGCAACTGTCTTCAAAGCGGCTTTGGTGAATCAAAACTGCAGTTTGTATGCTATCAATTTGGGTCAAGTTGGATTTTACATGCAATCAGTTTAATAATCAACTGTGGAAATTGTTGCATACTTATAAATTCACCTTAACTACTTACATTCCAGCCAGCACCCACAGATTTGAAACTCCAGGGTTTTCTCCACAATTAGTGATGTAACTGTTGCACGATGGGGATTTAACCATCCTGCAACACAGGCTTTCAGCAATGTTGCTTTTCGGCAATTTTTTGCAAACATTGGGGTTGTTGGACACTCAAACGTTGTGGAATCAGCGGTCGATGCAACTTGGTCACTTGCAAAAATATTTTCGGGGCTGCTATCCTGTTTTTACTCTGGTATGACTGAGCGATTAGTTCTGCAGCAGAATCATTGGTGCTGATGCTTCTCTATCCTTGTATTTTCTCATTGCAGTGATCCTGTTCTGTATGGCTGCGTTCATTTTCCCAATTGGATTCTACATCAACGAGGTTGGAGGACAGCCATATAAGCTGCCCAACAACACAGTGGTGGGCTCCTCCTACGTACTCTTCATTCTGTCAATATTCTTCACCATAGTGGGACTGCTGTTTGCCGGAAAGGTGTGCCTGCCCGGCTGACAAACTCACGTTCTCTTTTTAAACGCATAAAAAACCGCTACCACTGGAAGCCAACGTCGTTAGAACGAACTCTCCTGCGGCAGAGCTGGAAGCGTCGCTGAAAGCTGAGAAGTACTTGTCTTTCCCTCGCCGACGAATTGTCGCAACCGGAGCCAAAACCGCTGCAGTCCATCTGTGCATGTGTTTGTTCAGAGGCCGAGCAGGTGCAAGGAGCTCTGAAACGGCCCTCCTTGTTTTCCTTCGTGAACAAGACGCAGGGCAGTGAACAGAAAACAGATTATAAAATGGCAAAAGTGACATGTGAGCTTTCGAGGAATTTAAGGGGGCATTGTGAACGTCTGAGCTGTCATCCTAAAAATTCACGACAGGCGACGGAGAGCTGTTGTTCTTCTCATCTGAACCATCAGGGACGATTTGCACATGTCAGGCCTGATAGCAGTCTGAGGCCCTGATATTGGCCAGTCAACCTCTGTATGATGTCTGTTCTTCCCCCAAGCACTGCTACAAAATAATATAAGCTGCATTACTTTTATTTATATGATAGATTTGGAAGTGTATGTTTTAAAAGGCCAGCTTCTCTGCCAGTGCTATGTCAAGTGGATCATATTGCCTTGAGGATGGTTTACTGCAATGGAATAAATATAAAGTTCATGATACAAGAAGTCATAAAAATGCTATTTCTGAGTGGAATGTAAAATGGGCTATTAGCAACAGCTGCCCAAAGTTTGTAATGCTTGAGTCTGTGAAATGTGTCCGCACTGAAGGAAGAGGAGCTGTTGAAAAAATGTCAGAGTTTTAAGCTTTTAACATTGTGAATAATCAGTGAGGAAAAGGTCAAGCCTGGTGTGGTTCTCTGTTAGTTTTACTAATCTTATTGATGTAGTAAACTGATTTTTCACCTTTTTTTTTTTTTTAAAAGAATATTTTATGGATTAAACAGTGCAAAGAATGATAGAATCATCGACTTGTTTTATTCATCTGTAATGCTGATGCCTGTGTGTGTGTCTGTGCCTTTTTTTTTTTCAAATCACTGATGTTTGTAATTGTGCATGGAAAGTGTCATCGCATTAAAATTATGACAAGGGAATACCCATTCCTTTTATTTTTCATGCTTTTTCTCAAAATAATGCTGTGTGCATCTATGATGTTTGAACCACACACACAGTGTCTGTAGTAAGAGCAATCAAGGTCACACTTGAACTTGTAGTGTGTGTTTATACAATTGTCCTCAATGTCAACCATTACCATACTAAATATCTACACTCAACACTTTGTTAGGTACACTCTCATTAAACAGCTGATTAATCTAGCCAATCATGTGGGAGCAATTCTGTGCACATATAGGTGTCGTTCAGGCAGACTGCTTCAAGATGTTGAACACTAACTCACAAATAACCAGTCATTACAGTCAAGATATGAAGAACAGCTCAATTCAGTTCTGTTCTATTCATATGCTGCTAATTCACTGTAATAGTCCCCTCAATGTATATTTATTGTAAGATAAAGACCCTAAAATATTAGAGAGAAACCCCAGTTAGCAGTTAGCCTGAAGGCAGCACATCACATATGAAGCACAACCAGAGGAGCGTTTATCTTTTTCCTTGGGACTCCCTTTGAGCAACTCAGTGATAGTGGGAAGGTAAAACTCCTTGGCAGGAAGAAACCTCCGGGGGAACCAAGCTCAGGGAGGGGCAGCGATCTGCCGTGACCGGTTGGGTGGTGACAGAAGACAGCCAGAGTTCAATAATTGCTCATGATTAAATACAAAGTGGTGTAAAAAGAGGTGAGTGAAGAAATAATGCTAAGTGCATTACGCTGAGCACCCCTCAGCAGCCAAGGCCTATTGCTGCATAACTAACAGAGGATTCAGGTTCACCTGATTTAGGCCTAACGAATCAACATCATCATCATCATCATCATCATCATCAAAAAAACAAAAACGTTTTAGGTCTAATCTTAAAAATAGAAAGTGTTTTTATCCCAAATCCAAACTGGGAGCTGGTTTCATGGAAGAGGGTCCCTTTCTACTTCTAAATATCCTTGGGACTACAACTAAGCCTGCAGTGTGAGAGCAAAGTGCTCTGTTCAGATAATAAGGTACTATGAGGTATTTAACATTCAATCAATAACGATTTTGTATGTTTGGAGAAAGATTTTTAAAAATCTGAATTTAACAGGGAACCAGAAACAGAGAAATTACCATGGTAACGTGGAAACCTTTCGAGTTCCAGTTAGTCTTCTTGCAGGAGTGTTCTGGATGAAATGAAGACTTTTCAGGGAACTTTTAGAGTAACTAGATAATAATGATTTACAATAGTCAAGCCTTAAAGTAACAAATGCATCATCTAGTTTTTCAGCATCACTTTGAGACAATAACCTTGTCGAACCTCAAAGCAAATGAGCAGAAAATTGAGGCTACAGTTCACACAGGCTCACAAAAATTGCACAGTGGAGGACTGGAAAAAGTAACCTGGTCTGTTTAGTCTCAGTTTCTGCTGCGACACTCAGATTGCAAGGTAAGAATTTGGTGTAAACAGCATAAAAAGCATGGATTCATCTCGACCTGAATAGACACTTAAGTCTAGAATCCTTCAGTATACAGAGGAGTTTGTGATTGTGTTGATACTGCGAGGTGTGCAGCTTTTGTGGGTAAAAACAAGCCCAAACGATCACATCTCTAATGCTCACCAGGCTTAATCGTTAGTATGAGGTGTTTGGCTGATATAGTGTGTTTGGTTTCCACCAAACATCTCCATCCTTGTCTTCTTTGTCCAAAGGACATGCTTCCAGAAGTCTTGTAGTTTGTTCACATGCAACTCTGCAAACCTAAATTGCGATGCTATGTTCTTCTGCCAATCCTTTAAAAAAACAAACAAACATCAGTACTTGTTCAGTATTTTTATAATTGTGCTGTTATAAACGTGAACATTTGACATGCTAACCGAGGCCAGTAGAGTCTGAGATATCGCTCAGGGTTTTTTTTTTCTATAAGCATTGAATGGTCTGATGCCCTTTTGCTGGGACGTTCATTCTTGTGAAGATCGTTTTAACAAATACTCAAATGCTCCAGACCAGCAAACTGCCAAAACATCTGCTTTTATGGAGATGCTGACACTGATGATAAATTAATCAAGTGGATTTGAGCACCAGCGCCTGGCTGCTACCGTATTAATTTGAATTTAAGAGGTAATGTTGTATCTGTTCATTGTCCATATGACTGTTTCTTTCTTTCTGTACTTTCTTTTCCACATGACTGTAGTTTTTGAGCCTCTTTGAACCACTTCACAATTGTTCTATTGGCTGGCAATAAAATTAACAATAAAAGGAAAGAGATTTAATTATTTTTTGCTCATAATTTCATAAATGTGATGTGTTCTAATGACAATGGAAAATTAAAGTACAAAATTATGATAATTAATAGTCCACTGCAGACTAGTCATTTACACTTATTAGAAGGACTGACATACTTGTGTTACCTTTCTCTGGGCCCTTTTTGATTTTTTGGGTTAAAAACTACTAGAAAATAGTTATTATAACAGCGAAACTTGGTTTAAGTGTATCTATTTATTTTCCATGTAGTTAATTTCATACTGACACGAGATTAACTATGCAATAAACTTTGCATTGGATTTAAAATTTGTTACAGAGATACCAAAAGAACATGAGAAATGGGACAGCAAGTTGGCTCAGTGTTGTAGTCGCACTGAACACTAATACAAAAACGTGTAACTTATGTAGAACAGTGTTAAACAACACATGAGACTTACTGAAAAGAACTGTTTCACTTTTCATCAAATTAATCTGCATGACAAAAGTCTCTCTCTCATATATATATATATATAAACAAACAAACAAAGCGACTCATATGAGATAAGTTAAAGAAACATTATATTATAGTGAATTGAAAGCTTGTCAGTTTAGTTTGGCACAGCAGTATGATCAACAGATACACTCCGTGTATGAGGTGCAAATTCAACCCCCACCACAAGAGGGCGTCATTGGTCAAATGTAATTGACAGTATAAATCCGCCTCCTTACTTGGACCTCATCGTCAGAAAGTCAGAACTGCCCAAACTCAAGGAAAATAGATCCATAAAACAGTTCGCTCCACATCAATTTTTATGATAGCCTTTGGAGTCTGTGTGAAGGTAGAATCACACCGCATCGTCATCCTTTCCTTTCTCTAGTATTCACACACAGTTCAGTTCTCATCTAGAACACCATAGGCCCACTGCACTGATTATGTTAGGCCATGATGGGACTGGTGTGCTGGAGCTTGGCCATTTGTGCAGCTGTAAGCAACAGTACTCCAGTGAGAAGCTCCAGGCCGTAGGAGAGCCAGGCTAGACCGAAGGACCAGCCGAAAGACGTGTGAATGTAGGCCAGACCCTCCTGACCCACCAGCCTCTCAGTCTCAGCCAGTGCCTGGTTCGAGTAAATGATGTAGAGACTGGCGCCGCACATAGTCAGCAGACCTGGAGATTCACACATATACACACAGGAAGAGGCAAGTAAGTTCAGGGTCTTCAGATTCAAAGAAGTCAAAACTGGTATATTTAAAGTATATAGTTAGAGCTGGATCAGGGAACTCTGAATCCTCCCTTTGTTTTGGCTGCTGAGGGCTTCCCATGCTGCAGTAAGTGTTTCTTCACTCACCTCTTTTCACAATATGTGGCTTTACACCATTTATTCATTATAGTTATTATTAATTTCTGACTCTCTTTCACAGAATGTATTTTGTCCCATCTTCCTCCCCTCACCCCCAACTGGTCGTGGCAGTTGGCTGCTCCTCCCTGAGCCTGGTTCTGCTGAAAGTTTCTTCCTGTTTAAAGGGAGTTTTTTCTTCGCACTATTGCCATGTGCTTGCTCATAGAGGGTCTGATTGTTGACATTTTCTCTGTATTATTTTAGGGTCTTTACATTACAGTATAAAATACTTTGAGGTAACTGTTGTTGTGATTTGTATATTTATAAATAAAACTGCATTGAATTGAAAATTGAATCAGCTGAAAATAGTTTTTTAGTCCTAACACTACTTCTTTTGTCCCCCACTTGTCCAATTTTCCCAAGATTTTTGGAAACAGTACACACTGTTCTCAGACATGCTGAATTTTTGGCTAATAGCTCTTTCAGAATCACCTCGTCAGTGCAAAAATACTATTTTATGTCTGTCAGAGAGTGTTATCGTTGGCATTTTTTTGTAGATTGACTAAAGTAATGGGAACAAATTACATTCAACTGGTTTTGAAAAAGATTGCTCAAAACCATTTTTTGCTTCTTAGAAGCAAAAAAATAACTTAGATGAATGAGGGGTGGTTACTTTTTGTCCAGATTTAGTGTCACATTCTCTTAACATTTTCTCCAACAAAATGTTTTCATCAGTGTGGCCAATTATGACATGAAAAATGATTGATTATTACTGAGAGGCCTTTTTGTCTAAATCGTCATACTGATTAGTTTTATGAGTTTTATTCTGAGCTGATAATAAATTCCCAATTTCTCTGCCCTTATTATAAAAGTTATGTTAACATCTAACTGACATTTCAGTGCTTGTAAAGAGCTCAGTCTCTGCAAAGCAAATAGGAGCTGTGATATCGACTGTATGAATTAGGAAATGAAACAGAAAGTTCAGACGTAGAGGAGAGGAGACAGATTAAACCCAGACTTTTAGCTCAATAGATAACCTGGGATTTAAGTTGGCTTCCTTTATGGAACTGAAAGCTTTGCATTTTCCTCGATCTCAAGTTTAACAAACTCAGAGTTTTCACCAAACCTGCATCCTGTATCAGGGTTCTGGGCGAGATAGATAAAGGAAATCCTTATTTGGATCTGCTATTAGTTTGGTTCCAGGTTTAGAGGTGACAATAAATTATATACCCTGTTGAGGAGGATAGCATTTTAGAAGCAAACACCTGCACAAGCTGGCATCGTACTTCAGCAATTCTGAAGCGGAAATGTGTTCTAGTCAGAGCTCTGTGCTGAGAGCTGAGAACGGTAACTCATGAAGCTGCCCAGAATCTCATATTATGAGACACAGGAACAGCACTGACGCATGGATTGTCTGTTATTCTACTCATCAGAGACTAGACTGAGACACACACACCCACACACACACACACACTGTTCCACAGTGTTGCTATTGGAAACCCTTTTAATTCTGACAGCTTGCTACTGGTTTTAAGGGGATGCAAATGAAGCTACCCAGGGCGGGACTAATAAAGATTTTATTACAATTACACCCCAAGGTGCAACAAACTAGGAATATGATGAGGAAACTGCATCTGACGCCTCATTTTTATGCACTTTGCCAAGAAACAAATAGAGAGACAGGAAATGATTGAACTGCAGCGCATATAGGAAAGACAACTTTTACCATAATAGAGATAAGGAAGTCAAGTAATGGAATAATTTTTCATCAGGTGTGTAATCAGTTTTAATGATTGAGCAGACAGCTAAAAGAATAAATAAAAAAAATAGAAATAAAGAAATCAAATCAAAGATATATTTTATTCAGTGTAAAAACTATCGCTTTTCATTATATCCTGTAACAGGACGTGAGTGTCACTGAAGTTTAGATTAGATTTAGTTAGAATAGGCATCTTAATGTCAAGTTGGTTCGCTTCTTTTGTTCGATATCTTAACAGATTAATAGACTGTCTTGAATTTTTTTTTTTTTTTTACAGACATTAGACCAAATATTCACCAACTGATTGTGCAAAAATGAGAGTGCCTACGTAATAACACTAGTATCTGCTCAAATAACCACTTTTATTTGCCATCTTACAAATCGGGGGATTTATTGAAAAGAAACAGCTACTAAAGTCTTGAGGGACTTTTCATTTCTTTAGAGATTGCTACAAAAATGGTAAAATAGTTGCAGAGATGTATCGAAACATCTGCAAAGACAT